CCCCAGCCTTCTCAGTCAGTAGAACATGGGAAGCTGAGAAGTCCTTGACTTAGTACAAGCACTGCTTAGCAACAACTAAAACATCGGTGTGTTATCAACATTATTCTCATGCTAAATCCAAAACACAGCACTGTACCAGCTACTAGAAGGAAAATTAACTCTATCGTAGCCAGAACCAGGACATCGCCCAAGTATTGAGGCTTGGAACAGCTTTTCAATAGGAATACTGGGAAGCAGAAAAATCAGCTTGTTTTCTGGTGGAGGTTGTTCTGTTTGTGAAAAGGACTTTTAGAAGCTGGCTTTCTGCAGTCTTGAGGGCCTAGTGCTGATGATTCTTGAGGTCCCTCACAATCCTGTATTCCTAGATCATTCTGTAATGCAGATGCTGAATAGTAGTGAAAGGTGGTCAGAGCTTCTCCAAAGGATGGAGCACAATAATGAGCATGAAACAATGATGAATGAGGTTCTCCAACCATGCAGAGCAAGTACAGCAAGATCTTGGGATTATTTGGATTGCTTTCAGCAGGCTCTGGGCAGGACAACTGCAAAAGAAGGTAGCTTCTTACAGGAGCAGTTTCCGTCCGTTTTCCCGGTAGCTGTGTAGCTGTCATACTCTGGTTCACATAATTTTCTTTTTTGGTTTCCATAAACTGCAAACTTTCTACTTAATTCCTTCAGTACTCTCCCAAAGCAAAGTCCTTTGCACTGAGACAGGACAGCCCTCTCTCTCCTCCTGCCATCATAATGAAGTAATGGAAAATTCTTGTCTTTTCTGGAAGCAGAATGCTAGGTTATTACCAAATATCTTCCTCCTTCCCTGTAAAAATATTCTTACTTTCTTCATTAAAATTACATGTGGTATTACCTTCTATTGTGACAGCATTTCACACCAGCAGTTAATTTTTCCACAGTGGACAGAAGGTTTTCCTTAGTAAAGTTCTCAAGACTGTTAGGGATCTTTCTGGATTAAAGGCGAGATCATCATTAAAATCCTTTTCATTTATACTTTCAGCCCCTTAAATTTCAGTGCAAGAATCTTTAGAAGATAAATGGCTCAGGGCATCTTTTCTTCTCTGCAGTTCTTAGCCTGTATTAGACTCGTGAAAGTAATTTTTTTCCCAAACTTGAAAAATCCCTTTGCTTGTCTCTATTTAAGCAAGCCATTCAGACAAAAATCTTCTTTTCAGTGTACTGGTTGTGTATCTGTACCTGAAGGAAGATGTGAGGGGCTGCTGAAGAGTCCTTGCTGAGGTACTGTCTTTGAGCATCTTCCAGCATGTTGCAGAAGAAAAAAAACCTCATATCTGAGCCAGCCCAATGGCCATACGTACCGTATTGCTCCAAGCTGTTACGGAGGAGACCCGGGTTTGCCTGTGGGACTGGACCTATGCAACACACCGGAGTCCATCACACTGTGACTCCTCTCTAAATGCCTCTCTGAGGCTATTAGGCCTATTTTCATCTTCCTAATTAAAGCCAGAATACACTAATTCTTTGTTATTTTCTTATCAGTCTTTCAGTAAAATAATGCCAAATGAAGAATGTTCTATTAACAGCCCCCAAGGAAAATAGCCACTAAGGAAATTCTGTCTTTGACAAAATAATTTATTTCTTTTCATCTCGGAAGAAGTGACGTACTGTTTTGCTGTTGCACTGTTGGTGGCCAGCAACTTGCATTTTCAGGGACGTGTTTATTTATATTCTTTATCACGCACAAGTTTCTGTGGATCAAGAAGGAAAGGAGCTTAGCTCTTAGTGTAGTGCATCAGGTGTCAGTTTTTAAGTAAAAAACCTTTTGTAATTGCCACAGCTGAGTGAAATCATCAAAGTTGCCTTTAACTTGTGTTTTTCAAATTACACAACCTTTTATCCTGTTTATTATTAATGGCTATATTCACCAGAGAGCACCGTGTCCCTTCGCACAGGACCGGTGTCAGCTACTGCCCGTTGTGATGGATGTTTGTTGCAATGCACATCTTAACAAGCCTGTTCTTAACGTGAATGTTTTTCAGCCACCCAAAGCTGAGAGTCTAAATGGCTTGCTGTTGGGATACCGGATCTACTATCGGGAGCTGGATTACACCACTGGATCTGGAACAGAATCCAAAACCATCCAGAACCCTTCAGCTTTAAGAGCAGAGCTCACACGTAAGCCTGTGTTTTGGACCCTATGATATCCCAGAATGGTAATCCGTCGTTATACCAGACCCTATATGCCCTCTTGCCCCATGGAAATAACACACAATTGTGTCTAAGAGTGCTGGGGATAATTTAGCTTTTACACAATCAGGGTGAAGATGCTGAAGTATGCTAATAACTTCTCTCTGATCAGCATCGCTTGTCATGGTACGTGCTAGTCTATGCCAGCATGCTTGAACTGATGTTCTGTCTGCCACGTCTCCTCTGATTCCCTGCTTTCTGCTACCTCCATTTCATGATTACCCTGGTATACTTTGTTCTGCCATCAGACAAAAAAGAGAGAGACTTCATTTTCCTCAGCTGGGAACCTTTTTCTTGCTATTTTTTAATAGTTTTTATAATTGACATTTTGTTTTTCTTTTTGCAGTATAAGAAAACAGCTGAGGAGAAATTTTAAATAGAATTTTTACAATTTCAAAGTCCTTGTCCCTATTGTGGAAGAAAATAGCAAAAATGAGCAAGAATTTCAAGGTGCATGCATGCCGTGTTAGTCACTGGGGTTTTTGGCTCACATGGAAAGAAGGTGGAGAGGGAGAGGAATACTAGAAAAATTAAAAGGGTTTTTAGACAAAGGCTAGAAAGGAAATCAGAGGGAAGAATAGGCAGAATAAGATGATGGGAGGCAAAGATGTGAGCACTCAGTAGCCTGACAGATATGGTCCAGCCATGAGATGTGCTCACAGAGGGACCAGCTTTTGTCCTGTTTGATGTCAGTGGAATATTCAGAATTAGATAATACTCACTCAAAGAGCAGCAGAATAGGGTTGAGTGAGACTATTCTAATATCTTACATCATCTTCCATGTTTCTCTGAACCCATAAAAGTGGCTTCTACAAAAGCAAGAGTGATTTTTGTGGGGGTGTGGAAAAAGTGGATGCTTTAAATATAACATAAACACCTAACGCCGACCTCACTTATACGGTCAGTGCTGAATGAGACTTCTCAGACCGTACAGAGTTTTGACCAGGACAGAGTAGAGATGTAAAGCTCCTATAGGTGTAGGTATGCATAAGCGGTTTTTTCCGGACAAAAGCTGAATGACTATGTATGTTGTCATGAAATAATGACTTTGGATGCTCTCTAGTCTCACAAGCCAGGGAGCCTGTGAAACCTGCTGGTTTCCTCTCTTCCCTCTTCTTGGCTGGCCCTGCAGCGATGTTCCTAATAGCTGTAGAGTAGAAAAAAACATGCTGTACCTATCCAGGGAGTCGAGAGAGAGAGAGAGAAAGGGGTGGAGACAAGTGTATTTTAAGAGAAATTTCCCTCTTTCTCCTCATAATATGACAATTCTCACCTTAGTATACATCTGTTCCTCGCTGACCTATGGTTTTGCACAGCTTAGCATATTATTACAATTCGCTCACAGCAGGAATATTGAATTTTCTAAGTGAAACTGTGGGAAATCTAACACACATTTAAAGAAACGGGTCCTGTCCTATTTTAAGTGTTTGCTTTTTGTGGCCTGTGTTCCCGGTCTTTATCCTGCAGCTCTTCACGTTTTGAATTTTGCATGTTGAGAAATAAGGATGTAATACAGTGTTGAGAGTTTCCCCCTGGAAATTGTTTCCTTTTTACTAATTTATTCTATTCAGTCTAGGATTCAGAAGATTTCTATGTTGTATATTTGTGAGATTCTCTGTTTGAGGAGGAAATGAAACAGCCCCGTGTGAGTGAGATACTTTTGATGTGTTACGAGAGAGTGATGTGATTTTATTGCCCTTCAAGGTATAGTCCTAAAGCTCAAACTGTGTATGTGTGTGTTGCATCATTTGCCTCTGTCTCTGCTGTACATCATTTGCAATAACTATTTCCTTGCACTGTAACAAGCTTTCTGCTTTGCTTACCCTGAATAGCCCAAAGCAGCTTCAAGACAGTGAACAGCAGCTCTGCATTAACGACGTATGAATTAACACGTAAGTGCACATTGCCTTTAGATGAGACTCTTTGTAATGGTTCAGAATACACTATAGGCAAACTCCTATGGTTCTCTTCAGTGGATCTAGCAGAAATCAACACAGATTAATGATTGTGCTTTTTTGAGTTTCTTTTTCTTTAAGCCTTTGCTTTCCCTACATCAAGAGACTTGCATTGATGATGCAAGTAGGTAGCTGTTGTAAAAATGTGGCTGCTGGGAAGGTAAAACATTATTGACTGTAACAACCCAGTATTGCTGATGCTAAATGAATTTTGATTCGCTTGCTACATATTTTGCAGTCCATCTCAATTTAGCTGTATCACATCATTAGTCCTATGATTCAAGCATTGCGATGCTCAGGCATTCCGTGGAGTAGGAGGTCAGTTTAGAGAGGGCCCAATGAATTTATGTGCGTCTCCAGAGGTGTTTTCAATTGGAAATGAATAAAATAGCATTCGACAGAGTTAAAAGGGAAGTTGCTTTGTGGTGATGATGGTTCACTAGATAGGTTTTGCCTAAGGCTTTTGAGTCACAGATTGTGATGGGCTAAAAAAAAAAATGAAGCCCTATCCCCACTGAAACTTGCATGCATGAACTCTTATGTGTTCCATTTTCTTCCACACGCAGTTAACACTAAAATCTGCCTTGTGGCTTTTCATGGCAGCAATTAAAGTTTCCCTGTACAAGCTGCCCAGTACTATATCCTATATATCTTACTATTTTTTGTTTGTTTACGAACTTAGCAATATTATTGCTGATTTGCTTGCTACTTGTTTTGCAGTCCATCTGAGTTTAGTGGTATCACATCAAAAAGTTAGTGATGTATCGGATATCATTTACAATATGCCTGAGACCAGGGAATGACGCTGGACTCTGAGTCAGATATAGGAGCACAACACTTGTAAACATTTCCGTGAAACTGAAATTAGATGAACCTGTATGATTAGACTTACTGAATCTTACCAAACCGATGGCATATTGTCAGCCACAGAGTTAAGCGTACTGTGTGATTCATAGATAGCAGAGAAAATTATTGGCAAAGGGAGAAATCTGGACCCCTGGCCGTGCATGTCTTAATCAATTCAATGCTCATTTAAATACAGCAATTTATATTATTGATCACTCTCTTACTCTAATTCCACTGTTAAGTACTTCAGATGATAAACATTTCTGTTAGGATTGATTCTTTCATCCTGAAAATGCAAAATCTGAAATGAAACTGCTCAGGCACTGCCTCCCCTAATGATGTTGACATGATTCTACTCCACCCTCATTTGCATCTACTAATTACCCTCATACAATTGGGTTTTTCTAGATTTTTTTATCACTGCTCTCGCTTTTCTACCTCATCTGTCAGAGTAGTTTCTATATGTCAGCAAAGAAATCGGTTGCCTGGTGGCCAAATGGAGTCCAGACTTCAAATTCTCCTTTCTCTTTGTGATCGACGTTCAGGCTGTGCTCACTTTGAAGGAGCAAGATACCCCTGCAGTACTTCGAATGGGACTCCAGATTCCCCGCTGCAGATCTTCTCCTGCACCCTGCTTCAGCAGTGATGTTCTTGAGCAGTGCAGTTGCTAAATGACTCCCCGGATGAAAGTCCCTAGGATTAGGCAAAGGCTTGAAGACACGTTCTATCCTACCAGTAGAGATCAAAAGGAGCCCATATGTTGAACTTTCAAAGCAAAGTCCTGCCTTTTTCTGTCATTAAGAATGACCTAGAGATGTTCCTCTAGCTGGCTACCCATCAGGAATGATTCCTCGTAAGAGGAACGCCATGAGGAAACACTGGAAAATGCTGCCATTCATTGCAAAGATCTTTCATAATTATGCAAATCCTGTTGTGGTGTGTGAATTAAGGAAGGATGGAAGTAGAGATTGCACTAATTGTACTGTTTAATGCTGTATTTCACGAGAGAGAAGTCTGTTGATAAAGAGGTGATGGAGTCTAAAAAATACCTGTAATACCATATAAATAATTACGTATAATATGATATTTTCCTTTTTCAGAGTTGAAGAAATACAAGAGATATGAAGTACTAATGACAGCATATAATGTAATTGGCGAGAGCCCTACCAGCACGCCAGTGGAAGTGTTTGTGGGCGAAGCAGGTAGGTAAAAGGAAAATGAGTAGATTTTTTTTAAAAAGTACTGACGTGTTTTAATATTCTCCAGATAATATTTAATATTTGTCCGGGAAAGGAATGATTTGAAAAATTCCCCGGTCATGATCACTAACGGTTTTTTTGAGTGTCCTCTCCTGGACTAGGTTGGCACTGACAGTTTCTTGCCATTTGCAAGCCAGTTGGTCTACACAAATAAGGGAGAAAGGGCATTTGAAAGAAAGAAAAGAAAATATTTTTGGAATTGCAGGAAGATGACTGTTCATACCAAACTAGCTTGAGGGAAAAATTGACCCAACTTAAAGAAGTGAAAAGCGGAGCACAGGAAAGCCATAAGGGAAAAGAAACAAAACTACGAAACAAGGGAGACTTCGAAAGCTGGTTCTTTTATTTTATAGCTCTCTGTGCAGAGGCATTACCTGTGCACCACACCTTGCTGTATTTTTATGCTCTCGAAGTCAAGAAGACATTGTGTCCAGTTTAATGCTAGCTTTGGAGGCACAGATGATGATTACTCTCGGGAACATGCAGGCTCTATACCTGCATCCAGGCTCTACAGAAGCTGAGGGTCAGTGGCACTATTCATGCCTTTACTTATTATGGATCTAGCGCATGAATCCAGGCTGTATTTATGAAATGTAACTTGCTGATCATTTTAAAATCCCTCCATTGGAAGGCTAGAGGTGAAAATCGGGACAAGAGAGTTAACTAGACGCTTCTTTGAATGCTTTGTGAAACAGGCGATTTTGCAGAGCCCAGATAACCCGCAGCTGAGTCTGTTCTCAGTAACTCTAGCTGAGCAGCTCAGAACTGGAATAGCTGATGTCTTCCTCACAGCCACGGCGGCGGTGCCGTATTTATGGTGACCCCAGCTGGAGAGAGGCTGGTGCTGAAATAGTTGTTAGTTATTGGTATCAATTTCTGCAGCAGCATCTTTTGAAGCTTAGAACAAAAATAGGCAACAGGCACCCTCCTGTTGTTCAGTCTGCCGCCGTGAACGAATCTGATTACACTTTTGTTCTTCTGTCTCAAGGCTAGGATGTAGAATCTATCAAACCCAGCACTAATTCATTTTATTATTATTCATTAAATATTCTATTGCTCAAAACTAAGCAAAGCACATTTTTTTAAACTCTACTGCACATTTTTTTAAACCCTACTTAACCTTTTCATTTCAAATATGGTGTAATGTTCACTAACTTTCTCTGAAAACATCATAAATTAATCAGAGCAGCATGGTTCTGGAGAGACAGCTGGCAATATTTACATTTTTTTCTAGTTTGCTGCTGCTCCAACTTACTTCTGCAACTACAGTAGAGAAAGCTCCAAGTGGAGCCAACTGTATCTGGCTTCAAAATACATTTTTGTTTCAGAGCTAAACATCTCACTGCTGCAAATGGAGCCAGCACATGCATTTGTACACATGTACACGGCACAGAAAATCAGCTGGGGAAAACAAGGAAATGCTGTTATATCACGTCTTTTAATCCCACGGTCCAGGTCTTCCTTATCGTAACTCAGACAGGGAACAGGGCAATGGAAGGAGCCAAACTTGGGAGGAAACAGATATCCAGGAGACCTTCTTCCACAGGCAGGGCTGGTATATCCGAAGTTGTAGCATGACTCAGACGGTTTTCTGAGGTACTGGATTTACCTCTGGTTAGGGACAATCCAGGTTCATGCGGTAGAAATGATGAAGGTAGGATCTTCCTGCCGATTTTCACTCTTGTTTTGTGAAGTTATTATGCTTTGTTATAGAACTGCCTCTTCCACCTCCAGAACTGGCTGTGATTTATACTGTGAGTAAAGTGATTGGAGCTGGTATTGCAATTTAAGTTTTAAATTGATTTGTGACACCTTTGAGTTAAAGTGTGCTGTGGAAATACAAGTTTTTGTTACTGTTTGCTTGATGTTCTTACCCGTGGTAAAGGCAGTTAAGCAACAAGCTGGAAAAAATAGGTCTGCTTAGCTTCAGCAAGGGGCATCCATGTTAAAAACGGAGAAAACCTTCCCAATAAACAACAAGTGCTGACAACACAGGCATAGCACTGAACACAAAATGACTGAAGGGGACTAGTCCCTGGTCTGAAGGCCCCAGATAACTTATGTCTCAGTACTGTTAAACAGTGCTTCGTTCTGCCGTAAGGGTTGCAGTAATTCTGGTAAGTGCAAGAATGTTCCTCTCCTGGTTGTAAAAAGGAATATACAGCACGTGCCTTTGGAGAAACGTGCTGGGTTTGGGCCAGTTCAGTGAAAATACCTGATTCTATGCAGTCCTGGTGGGTGTTTCATATAGTGTGGGGCACCTGGAAATAATACTGACGGTTGATGTGCTGTTCAGCTTCTATGTTTGGTGCAGCCAGACGAGGGATGCAGAAGGAGGAGCGTCTGTAATTCCTTCTTTCCCTCTTGCACTCTCCCCTGTTAGATTTGAAGATTTTCCTATCATCGTATCTGGATTTTTACAATAAAAGCTCAAGTAGGCAATGGAGCCCCTGACAAACTTGGAAAAAAAAAAAAAGCCATTAAAACCAACCTTCTGGCAGTTTTGCCATGACAAACTTAAAAAAAAAAAAAGCCATTAAAACCAACCTTCTGGCAGTTTTGCCAATCAAACAAGTAAAAAGCACCCAAATGGGGAGTTTCTCTGGAGCTCTGGCATGCCATTGAGCTGTACCCCAGATGGCCGCCTCCTCGGGCAGCCCGAGTGCGCTGGTCTCACTTGGCTCTGACCGATGGGCAGGGGGAAATTTTGGGAGAAAACAACCTGCTGGTAGACAAGGGGCCAGACACGAGTAACAGACCTCTGTCTCCTGAATTGCCTGCTGAATAAGGGAGCTGGGTGCAAGTGTTTGGGGGTTTGTGGGGGTTTTTGTGCTACAGGTGGAGCAAAACCTTTTTCTTGTTGCAGTAGCCCCTAAGATCAAAGCCTCAGCAAAGGCTGCATTTTGAGTTCTACCTGGACGTTTGCAAAACTCACTGATGTGAAGAGCAATTCTTCCTCATGCCAGGAGAGCGGGCTGGGAGTCCTTGCACTCAGTGCAGCCGGGAAGGATGCACTGCCTGTGCAGTCTGAAGAAAGCCAATGTCATTCCCCCACCTGCCTCAAGCATCTGGATCCCTCTCCTCCACAGACCAGAAGATCCACATAACGTCACGTTTTTAGGGCTGGCTGCAGCTCTGCCCTGCTCATTAGAGAACCATGTGCATCTCCCGACAAATGACAGAAAAATTGAAAGCCGCCACTTGCAGAAATTAGGAAGGGAGTTGCAGCCCCGTCGGCAAGCCCCCTTCTTGCCTTGTTAATTCATTTAACAGTTCAGCTGTCAGGGATGCCGGCTTTGATTGGGAAGGCAGTGGGTGTTCAGCGAGAGGCTGTGTACTGATATTCATCCCAGCCCTAAATGCAGCTGCTACCAGAGGTGCTGTTCTGCTCAACTGAAATTAAGACTCTGTTAGAGCAGCCACTATATCAAGAGCATTATTCTACCAGGTCGCTGTCACTATCTGATTGTGTGGTGGGCTCTGGAGTTCAGGAGACTCCACTACCTGCATTTTAATTAAACAGAAATCACAGGTTTGGGGCAGGCATGCTTCAACTAGTTTGGGAAGGTGAATAAAATGGAAGGCGGCAATACAAATCCTGTGCTAACGAGCCTGCAGCCTCCAGTGCTTCTCCCATATACTGCAAAGCTGTTCTGGATGAAAAATAATGGAATTCATAATTTCTTCCAGCAGCTGCTGCTGGAGGAGAGCGCATGTGTGCAGAGAGAATCTAGCAGAAGGGGTGAAGTGCACCGAGAGACACTAACCTTTAAACAGGTTCTAAATCCATTTGTGTGAAGAGGGGAGTGATGTGTGTCATTATAACTGATGGTGACATTGGTGACCTTCAGAATTCACAAGGCTGGTTTGTTGTTGTTGTTCTTTTTAATAATGATCTCTGAGAGCTGGTTTTGCAATGGGAAAGGGAAGGAGTAAAAAGAGCTGCAAGACAGAGTCTTCTTAGAAGTCCTCCATTGAAATGCCGTCTTGGCTGTTAGCATCGTCTTTTGGAAAAGCAGGTTTCCTGGCCATCTCACTTGCTTCAAAGTGAAACTGTAGCTTGGAAAGGAACGGGAGCGGGACAGGGGGATGACTCTTCTTACCCCTCTTTTCTTACCTCTTGGTGAATGTACTTTTTGGTGCAAAGCTTGCAGATGCCAAAGGAAATTTCCCACTGTTATCTGCAATTATTTTCATCTGCCCTCCTGCCTGCAGCTCCACAGGCGTTCCTGGAGTTGCCAAACTTTATTTTGTCTACCTGTAGCTGACACATGGCGGGAAGCTCTGCTCCGCTCCGAGCTGCCTGGCCATCTCCAGCATTTTACAGGCAAGGAGTAGAAACCATCTGGAAAGCTCCGAGACCAAAAAAAGTGATTTAGGTTTGGGAAAGAGAAGACAAAATACAGAGAAGAAGCCATGCTAATAAGGAAGAAGCCTCGTAAGGAAGCAAAGACTTGACTCCAAGCACGTGGCTCCCCTTTATAAGCTGCTTCTAGGAAAGAGCTCTTGTCCCTTATTTGGTTATCTGTGTTTGGGCGATGTCCCTTTGTCTCTCGTGCTAACGCCAGAGAAGGTTGTCAGAACAAGGCTGCTTTGTCCTCAAGTGTTTTCATCTGTTTCTGCAGGCCTCACTCTTTTCTTGTGTTCATACAAAATACCCTACATGGTGTCAGCTCCCCATCGTAGGTCGCTCTCTGGAGAAAGAAGTCCCTCAGCATTACCTTGGGCCCCCCTTTCTCTTATAGCACAGAAGCTTTATCTCCTTCCCTGCCCCAAATGTAGCTGGGAAGATGCTGTGCAGAGAAGTCCCCTGTGCCTCCTTGTTAACAGCCTACAAGAGGAATGACAACATTTCAGTGCATTAGAGCTGGCAGCTTCAATCAGTCTGCTGTGGCCCCCTTGGCTGTTTTCTCCTATCTGTTTGGGACACGTGGGCCATGTCT